CCCGTCTAATAACAGACGTATAAAGTGTGCAGACAGACATTCAGCTGCACAGAAAACTCTGATGCTCACAGGAATATATCTAACCTGGTTAAATGTTGTGGTACTTTTACTTTAGCAGAGTATTTTCACAGTATGCTATTTCATACTTCTACATGTCAGAAGTCAGTATTGTACTTTTTCTCCTCTACATTTAGCTTTTTAGAGATTCAGTTTATTAGCCACTACCAGAGGTGGGAAGTAGTGGAGTACAAATACTTTGTTACTGTACTTAAGTACATGTTTCTGGTATCAGTACTTTACTCCACTACTTATTTTTCTGACCAATTTTTACTTTTAATTCTTACATTTTGAACCCAAATACCTGTACTTTCTACTTCTTACATTTTGAACACAAATACCTGTACTTTCTACTTCTTACATGTTGAACACAAATACCTGTATTTTCTACTTCTTACATTTTGAACACAAATACCTGTACTTTCTACTTCTTGCATTTTGAACACAAATACCTGTACTTTCTACTTCTTACATTTTGAACACAAATACCTGTACTTTCTACTTCTTACATGTTGAACACAAATACCTGTACTTTCTACTTCTTACATTTTGAACTCAAATACCTGTACTTTCTACTTCTTACATTTTGAACACAAATACCTGTACTTTCTACTTCTTACATTTTGAACACAAATACCTGTACTTTCTACTTCTTACATTTTGAACTCAAATACCTGTACTTTCTACTTCTTACATTTTGAACTCAAATACCTGTACTTTCTACTTCTTACATGTTGAACACAAATACCTGTACTTTCTACTTCTTACATTTTGAACACAAATACCTGTACTTTCTACTTCTTACATGTTGAACACAAATACCTGTACTTTCTACTTCTTGCATTTTGAACACAAATACCTGTACTTTCTACTTCTTACATGTTGAACACAAATACCTGTATTTTCTACTTCTTACATTTTGAACACAAATACCTGTACTTTCTACTTCTTGCATTTTGAACACAAATACCTGTACTTTCTACTTCTTACATTTTGAACACAAATACCTGTACTTTCTACTTCTTACATGTTGAACACAAATACCTGTACTTTCTACTTCTTACATTTTGAACTCAAATACCTGTACTTTCTACTTCTTACATTTTGAACACAAATACCTGTACTTTCTACTTCTTACATTTTGAACACAAATACCTGTACTTCTACTTCTTACATTTGAACTCAAATACCTGTACTTTCTACTTCTTACATTTTGAACTCAAATACCTGTACTTTCTACTTCTTACATGTTGAACACAAATACCTGTACTTTCTACTTCTTACATTTTGAACACAAATACCTGTACTTTCTACTTCTTACATTTGAACACAAATACCTGTACTTTCTACTTCTTACATTTTGAACACAAATACCTGTACTTTCTACTTCTTACATGTTGAACTCAAATACCTGTACTTTCTACTTCTTACATTTTGAACTCAAATACCTGTACTTTCTACTTCTTACATTTTGAACACAAATACCTGTACTTTCTACTTCTTACATGTTGAACACAAATACCTGTACTTTCTACTTCTTACATTTTGAACACAAATACCTGTACTTTCTACTTCTTACATTTTGAACTCAAATACCTGTACTTTCTACTTCTTACATTTTGAACTCAAATACCTGTACTTTCTACTTCTTACATGTTGAACACAAATACCTGTACTTTCTACTTCTTACATTTTGAACACAAATACCTGTACTTTCTACTTCTTACATGTTGAACACAAATACCTGTACTTTCTACTTCTTACATTTTGAACACAAATACCTGTACTTTCTACTTCTTACATTTTGAACACAAATACCTGTACTTTCTACTTCTTACATTTTGAACACAAATACCTGTACTTTCTACTTCTTACATGTTGAACACAAATACCTGTACTTTCTACTTCTTACATGTTGAACACAAATACCTGTACTTTCTACTTCTTACATTTTGAACTCAAATACCTGTACTTTCTACTTCTTACATGTTGAACACAAATACCTGTACTTTCTACTTCTTACATGTTGAACACAAATACCTGTACTTTCTACTTCTTACATTTTGAACTCAAATACCTGTACTTTCTACTTCTTACATTTTGAACACAAATACCTGTACTTTCTACTTCTTACATTTTGAACACACATACCTGTACTTTCTACTTCTTACATTTTGAACACAAATACCTGTACTTTCTACTTCTTACATTTTGAACACAAGTACCTGTACTTTCTACTTCTTACATGTTGAACACAAATACCTGTACTTTCTACTTCTTACATTTTGAACACAAATACCTGTACTTTCTACTTCTTACATTTTGAACACAAATACCTGTACTTTCTACTTCTTACATTTTGAACACAAATACCTGTACTTTCTACTTCTTACATGTTGAACACAAATACCTGTACTTTCTACTTCTTACATGTTGAACACAAATACCTGTACTTTCTACTTCTTACATTTTGAACTCAAATACCTGTACTTTCTACTTCTTACATGTTGAACACAAATACCTGTACTTTCTACTTCTTACATGTTGAACACAAATACCTGTACTTTCTACTTCTTACATTTTGAACTCAAATACCTGTACTTTCTACTTCTTACATTTTGAACACAAATACCTGTACTTTCTACTTCTTACATTTTGAACACACATACCTGTACTTTCTACTTCTTACATTTTGAACACAAATACCTGTACTTTCTACTTCTTACATTTTGAACACAAGTACCTGTACTTTCTACTTCTTACATGTTGAACACAAGTACCTGTACTTTCTACTTCTTACATGTTGAACACAAATACCTGTACTTTCTACTTCTTACATGTTGAACACAAATACCTGTACTTTCTACTTCTTACATGTTGAACCCAAATACCTGTACTTTCTACTTCTTACATGTTGAACCCAAATACCTGTACTTTCTACTTCTTACATGTTGAACCCTAATACCTGTACTTTCTACTTCTCACATTTCCCAAACAGGCTGGTTCCTTTAGTTTGAATGTGTGTTTGGTGGCGTGATCATTATTATTTAGAGTCATTGCGTGCCTATTGATTTGAACACGATCCGTGTATCCATCATTTCCTGGTCTTCTCTAAAGAAGAGGGACCAATGAAAACGTTGTCATGTTGCCGTTGTTCAGCATGGAAACATTCATTAGCTAACAATGACATTATTGTTCTATTAATATAAAGGGAGGTCAGGTACTCTTTAAAACAGCTGCTAGTTATGGGTACTTTTTACTGAAGTACATTTCAAAGCCCTCTTTACTTTGACTTGAGGAAAGAAGTTTAGTCAGTACTTCTACTTTTACCAGAGTATTTTTAAACACGAGTATCTGTACTTCTACTTGAGGAAAGGATGTGTGTACTTTTGCCATGTCTGCAAACATGAATACACATAGGTGAAAGAAGTACTTAGATCCTTTACTTAAATAAAAGTAGAAATACTATGGTCTTAAAATACATTTAGGAGTCCTACATTCTGAATGCTAAATACTACTAACAGCTAAATGTAGTTTAAATATTATATCATCCTATTTTCATTACGAACAAATACATGTTAAGAGCATTTTAGAGTGGTAGTTTGTTAATGTGGAGCCAATTTGAGATACCTCTGTTACGTTTGTCAGACTCTTATGCAGACAAAATATTGCAAACGTCTTTTTTCCATCGTTTAATTCGATATATCCAATGTATCAAACTCCACTAAGATAAAAATGTATATAATTAAAACTTGTTAGCTCACCATAACACATGAATTATGAAAACAAAATTCTTTGTTTTGAGATGTCTCTGAGGGTTCTTCTTATCTTTGGTCGTAAGGGTCATAAAAAGTTGTGGTTGGAGTTTTAAAATGAAGTGGTTATTACAGATGATTATGGTTCCTTCTGCTTCTGTTGGCATGTCCTAACAGTACATTGACTCAAGTACTGTACTTAAGTACAATATTGTAGATACTTGTACTTTTTATTTTGATGCTAACATTTTTGTACTTTTACTTGAGTAACATTTTGAATGGACTTTTACTGTACCAGAGTATTCCTACACTCTGGTACTTCTACTTTTACTCAAGTACAAGATCTGAGTTCTTCAAAATTACTCAAGTACAAGACCTGAGTACTTCTACTTTTACTCAAGTACAAGACCTGAGTACTTCTACTTTTACTCAAGTACAAGATCTGAGTTCTTCAAAATTACTCAAGTACAAGACCTGAGTACTTCTACTTTTACTCAAGTACAACATCTGAATACTTCTACTTTTACTCAAGTACAAGATCTGAGTACTTCTACTTTTACTCAAGTACAAGATCTGAGTACTTCTACTTTTACTCAAGTACCAGATCTGAGTTCTTCAAAATTACTCAAGTACAAGATCTGAGTACTTCTACTTTTACTCAAGTACAAGATCTGAGTTCTTCAAAATTACTCAAGTACAAGATCTGAGTACTTCTACTTTACTCAAGTACAACATCTGAGTACTTCTACTTTTACTCAAGTACAAGATCTGAGTACTTCTACTTTTACTCAAGTACCAGATCTCAGTACTTCTACTTTTACTCAAGTACAAGATCTGAGTTCTTCAAAATTACTCAAGTACAAGCTCTGAGTACTTCTACTTTACTCAAGTACAATATCTGAGTACTTCTACTTTTACTCAAGTACAACATCTGAGTACTTCTACTTTTACTCAAGTACAAGATCTGAGTACTTCTACTTTTACTCAAATACAACATCTGAGTACTTCTACTTTTACTCAAGTACAACATCTGAGTACTTCTACTTTTACTCAAGTACAAGATCTGAGTAGTCTACTTTTACAAAAGTACAACATCTGAGTAGTATACTTTTACTCAAGTACCAGATCTGAGTACTTCTCCCCCTCTGGTTGCAGTCACCAATAGTAACGTGTCCTTCCTTCCCTCAGGTCTTCTCTGACGTGTCCTCACTGCATGAAGCAGAGCAACACCTTCGACCCGTTCCTCTGCATCTCTCTGCCCATCCCTCTGCGCCAGACCAGGTAAGACGACACATTTAACCCTGAGTTATCCTCTGGAATCATGCTCTTATGATCAGGTAGACAATAACAAATGTGTTAGTACTGTATGTATTCAAGACAGTCTTATAGAGGTAGATTTGTCTCCATATTAGAGGGCGAGTGGGTGTTGGTTTCACCTCTTTGAAGAGAGAGAGAGAGAGAGAGAGAGAGAGAGAGAGAGAGAGAGAGAGATAGAGAGAGAGATCGAGAGAGAGACGATAGAGCGAGAGAGTAGGAGAGGAGAAAGAGGACAGAGAGAGACACAAACAGAGACATCCTCTATCTATCTCTCTCTCTTTCTTCTTTCTCTCTCCTCTCTTCCTCTCTTACTCTTCTCTCGAGAGAGAGAGGCACTTCCTCCTAAAGTGCCAAACATTCAAAGAAATAAGGAACATTTACTGAAACAAGTTGAACTCTGTAATCCCGGGTTTCAAGGAGGTTAATTACCTCTCAAGACTAAGCATACTCCGAGGAGAAGGAGACAAAGCACTTCTTGCTGCCCAATATGTATACACATGCCACAACCTGAGGGACAGTGAATGAGACACACACACACACACAATCACGCATGGGCGTAGGAAGCATCCTGAATGTGGGGGGGACATTGACTTAAATGTTCAAATAAATGTTGCTCTTCTGTCTATATTGGTCATATGATGCCCCTTGACTGAAATGTTTCCTGTTCAATATCCCCACTGATTTCCTTAAAATCCTGGGATGAGAGTCCACATCACAATTTACTCTCAACTGTCATTTCCCTTTCATCACTCACCTCAGCAATGGACCTCTCTCCACTGTCCCTGTATTCTGCCTCTGACTCACTCTCAAGTGCCTAGATGTCAAGAGAGGTGGTGAAGTGATAATTATTTATTGAGCAGTATACTCTTTCACATTGAATCATAACAAGTCATACTGAATGTAAATACAACTGACTCTAAAGTAAGTCCCAGTCTGTGACATTGGACATTTTGAAGACTCAAAGTCCCAAGCAGTAGGTAGAATATTAGCTAGTCTATGTAATGTGCACAGAAAATAAATAGTTAACTGAATACTGGGATGGAAATAGCCTATAAGCACTCAGTAAAACATACACACACAAAAAGCTTCTGAATGATAAGAAGTATAATTAAAACATAATGCACATTACCATTTTGACAGAGAGTACCTAAGTTAAAGAACTCAGAAAATAATCTCTTATCGAACTGAGGCTCCAGTAAAACACACTGACTGCGTCTCTACATGGACATCAGTAAGCCGTTTATGAGTATTATCCCGGGTATGATCATATTGGGGATATGGTGTTTACATGAGCACAGAGAGATCGGGTTATTCATGTTCCCTGTTTACATGATAAATACTAGTAACCTGGCATTTCGATGCCTTTTCTCATCTAAACTATTCAGTATTTGTATCTCTCTATCATGACATAAAGACGAAACTCCTCTCCAGAATTGAGACGCCGCCATCACTGTTAACTGATTAACTGCTACCAGCTGATGACTTACTTTCCTCTTCTTTGACAAAAATGTTCTTATGTCCATGTTGTCTGGGGGAGAAAACATATCAAACCAAGAGATCGTCAGCTTTGATTTTCGCTGTATTAACCATTTCCTGAACATTTGGTGTGTGTGCCTTACCTCCGCTACCGGCATCGCTTCATACAACAGATCTGAGCTGTCCAACTATGACATCACTCCTGAACATGCGCGCGCTATGTGAGAATCTGCCTTGGTACAAAGTAGCAGTGAAAACATGGTACGGAGTTTCATTGATTTGGGCATTCTCTCAATAAGCAAGTGGAATGGATTTAATTTGATAGTGAAGCACTGACACAGCGCTCTACAAAGTGCGCGAGTGGATAGACCGATTCACGGACTTTCCGCATAGTAAAAGTGGGGGGGTCTAAACTAATCATTTGAAAAAGTGGGGGGGACTTGTCCCACCCTCATATAATGGCTGCGACGCCCATGCAATCACGCACCCAAAGAAACACACACACACAATCACGCACCCAAAGAAACACACACACACGGGTGTTGAAGTGTAATTGTATCAGAGAGAGTGAGTTATACCAAAGCAGTTTATTTTAATAAGATCTGTAGCTTGTCGTTATTTATGTTGTCTGTGTAATGAAACACTGGGATTGTGTCTGCTTCTGGACGATAAACCAATTAATCAATAAATCTGATTATTTTATAACATTTTGATTAATTGTGCAGCCCTAACTCCAGCTGTTCATTAAACATACATATAAGAGAGTCATTTTGATCTTATTCTTGGCAAAAATAACTCCCATCTGCGACTTAAATCAAAAAATAAGTATTTGGCAGTGAGTTTTTGGTCTTAAATGGACCTTAAAATCAGCTCCTGCATGTTCAGCTCCACTCTAAGGTGTGTTTATCACTGGGTTCCTTCCTGCAATTTTTCTCCTCCCTTTTTAGTTTTTATTCTTTGAAAAAGGTCTTTCAGGTTCAGCCAGCATCCCGTCTAATTTGGGAAATAGTTTGTAAGAGCTTCCTTCTGACAGAGAGCCAAGTATTAAGTTACCTTCCTTTTGTTTTCGCTGTGTGGCAGACAGGGGGAAAGAAAACACTTCTGGCGGATAACAAGAGCACATAACAGATGGATGCTGTTTGAAGATATTTTTCTAAAGTATTCAGAGTACAGCTCACTCCCTGCCCGATCATGTCTGTAAACACACACACTGTTTGTTAGCAAAGCAACTTTTCCTGTGAGCAGCTAAACAAACACTGGCTCCGTCCATGTTGGATCATTCTGTTTATGTAAAGCTTTGTGTGTGAACGGGACACACACACCTTCTGGATGCATCTCATTATCTGCAGCCATAGAAATAATGAGATGAGCAACACATTAGAGCTATACATAGCCACAGGAAGTGTTACATTTTAATATTTTATAAGAAGATAGGAACAAAAAACAGTGTGGACTAATTGTTGTCTGAAATAGAGTAATACAGGAATGAGTCAATAAGGTATGTGGTTAACACAAGCTGAAGTCATGTGACCGTGCTGTAGTTCCTTTATAGCCCAACATTAGCCACCTTTAGCTTAGCGGTGGTGAGGTGAAGTCATGTGACCGTGCTGTAGTTCCTTTATAGCCCAACATTAGCCGCATTTAGCTTAGCGGTGGTGACGTGAAGTCACGAAATTAATTTAATCTATTGATTCGTGTTCACCAACACGATTTTCCCCTTTTTTTCGTGTCACACAGAACGATTTTAAAAGCAATGTATTTCTATTGGTAGTATGTTTCGTGCCTGCACCACGTCTTTTTGTCCAGTCGGGTCTTGGAAGACCAGAAGCTGTGTGGTTCATAAAAACATGTTCTTACTCAATATCTTAGCCTAAGCCTAACCCTATCCCTTTTATTTTAAATTGTATAATGTCTGAGGTTTTTTGCCGTCTGCCAGGAAAAGAAATGGCTCAGAGCCTTAGAATACTGAAATCTGTATTTTTTGTAATCTTTTTTCCTTCTAATTTGCTATTATTTACATTGCTTTTAAAATCGTTCTGTGTGACATGAAAACAATTGTGAAATCACGTTGGTGAACACGAATCAATAGATTAATTTCGTGACTATAACACGAAATGCCGTGAGACTGTGTTGGTAGTTCCTTTATAGCCCAACGTTAGCCTCCTTTAGCTTAGCGGTGGTGAGTTGAAGTCATGTGACCGTGCTGTAGTTCCTTTATAGCCCAACATTAGCCACCTTTAGCTTAGCAGTGGTGACGTGAAGTCATGTGACCGTGCTGTAGTTCCTTTATAGCCCAACATTAGCCACCTTTAGCTTAGCGGTGGTGACGTGAAGTCGTGTGACCGTGCTGTAGTTCCTTTATAGCCCAACATTAGCCACCTTTAGCTTAGCGGTGGTGACGTGAAGTCGTGTGACCGTGATGTAGTTCCTTTATAGCCAAACATTAGCCACCTTTAGCTTAGCGGTGGTGACGTGAAGTCATGTGACCGTGCTGTAGTTCCTTTATAGCCCAACATTAGCCTCCTTTAGCTTAGCGGTGGTGACGTGAAGTCATGTGACCGTGCTGTAGATCGTTTATAGCCCAACATTAGCTTTTTATTTCTGGAGATTGCATTCACGCTTCAAAAATCTAAGCTAACTATCTTAGCTAAAGGTGGCTAATGTTGGGCGTGATGACGTTTAGTCGTCTCATTTAGACACTTGTTAGCAACCGCTGTTTTTAAATCCACCAGTGGGGTATTTACTGACGTATTTTATGTCGTAGAACAAAACTTTAATATCTCTTCAGCTTGAGTTAACCACAGACCTTATTTCAGGATAACAACCAAAAACACATTCAAAAAATGTTTTCGACTTTGAGAGAAGCTAACTTGAAGTGCTACACTGCTAACTCATTTTGGGTTAAGGACTCATTAAAATAAAGGCTTGAGGTAAACAATAAAACCCTCTCCCAGTGAGAGGTTGAGAAGTTCCTCTGTTTTGTTTTGTGCTGCTATGAAAAATGTTATTAGCATAAATTGGGGAAACATCCTTGAGCCAAGGCTTGATTAGTGCAGCCAATTACCGGCCTCTTGTTTGGCTGAGCTCTTTTGAAGTATAAAAGGTCTGTTAGGTCATTCATTTCTTTCAGACTTAACAATACTTGTGCCTAACAAGAAGCTGCAGGGTTATGTTTATCTGTATAACAATCTTCAGAGAGCTGCTCCTAGTTTAGAAAACACTATATGGATTACAAACTAAATACATTTCTGATGTTCTTGTGGAATATAAACCCCTTTAATCAGAGCTGTGTGTGGGCTACTGGACCAATTACAAACTACTGCAAAAGTAGAAGTACTCAGATCTTGACCTTGAGTAAAAGTAGAAGTACTCAGATCTTGTACTTGAGTAAAAGTAGAAGTACTCAGATCATGTACTTGAGTAATAGTAGAAGTACTCAGGTCTTGTACTTGAGTAAAAGTAGAAGTACTCAGATATTGTACTTGAGTAAAAGTAGAAGCAGTCAGATCTTGTACTTGATTAAAAGTAGAAGTATTCAGATCTTGTACTTGAGTAAAAGTAGAAGTACTCAGATCATGTGCTTGAGTAAAAGTAGAAGTACTCAGATCTTGTACTTGAGTAAAAGTAGAAGTACTCAGATCTTGTACTTGAGTAAAAGTAGAAGTACTCAGATGTTGTACTTGAGTAAAAGTAGAAGTACCAGAGTGTAGGAATACTCTGTTACAGTAAAAGTCCTGCATTCAAAATGTTCCTCAAGTAAAAGTAGAAAAGTATTATCATCAAAATATAGTGAAAGTAGCGACAGTAAAAGTAGTCATTGTGCAGATTGGTCCATTTCAGAATAATATATATGATGTGTTTTATAATGATTGATCATGAAAGTGTTCTCAAAGCTGGTAAAGGTGCAGCTAGTTTGAATGACTTTGTATACTGCAGGGTAGCTTGTGGATTTACTCCAGGTGGAACTAAAGTCTGATTTAACACTTGATTATATTTCACATCATTCATCCACATCTGTGAAGTAACTAAAGGTATTAAATACATGTAGTGGAGGAAAAGTACACCATTTACCTCTGGACTGTAGTGGAGTAGAAGTACACAGTAGCATAAAAGTACCTCAGAATTGAATCTTAAATGTGGTGCATGTTTTCCCTGTTAAACACAATATACTGATGACATCTGCATGAAGCCACTATATGACAGGTCTATCTGTAATAGTGCATATAAACTGTTAGCTGGGCTTTAGTGGGGGGTTGGAGCCGCTGAAACAGAACCAGTTTGGAGGTTGAACTAATGTCAATGTGACCTCCCTTTAATATGTTTGGCTGCAGAGTGGAGGTTATCTGTCCTGCTGTGCTCTGCCGTCACCGTGACTTTGGTCAGCTCGTTTAGATCAGTGATGTTTTTCAGGATTAGAAGTCTTAGCTGTTATTTTGCACTCATTTTTAGGGGAAATTAGGTTTTGTGAGCAGTAAAAATGTGCAATAAAGAGATAAATAACATCATATAGGAACCCAAATATGTATAAAAGCATATTTAGTTAGTACAACAATGTGAAATAAAGATAAATAGGATAGAAATAAATAGATATACATAAAAAGTTAAACTGAAATTGGGCATAAATTAAATAATACAAAAATAATACATTTAAAAAACATTAGTTAAGTAAAAATGTGCATGTCAATATATAGTGTTTTTTTAATATGTATAAAGATATTATTGATAAATCTAAATGTACATTATAATACGATAATCACCTTAGTGATATAGGTTATGAGGATAGGAAATTAGATATGGTATATTCTTTCCATTTCAGTAAAATAAAACATTGATATGTCCATTAAATACCTCATCAGCAGGAGAGGACTCTTTAAAGTAGAGACACTGCATACTGATATACACCTGAACATCAGCAGGAGAGGACTCTTTAAAGTAGAGACACTACATACTGATATACACCTGAACATCAGCAGGAGAGGACTCTTTAAAGTAGAGACACTACATACTGATATACACCTGAACATCAGCAGGAGAGAACTCTTTAAAGTAGAGACACTACATACTGATATACACCTGAACATCAGCAGGAGAGGACTCTTTAAAGTAGAGACACTACATACTGATATACACCTGAACATCAGCAGGAGAGGACTCTTTAAAGTAGAGACACTACATACTGATATACACCTGAACATCAGCAGGAGAGGACTCTTTAAAGTAGAGACACTACATACTGATATACACCTGAACATCAGCAGGAGAGGACTCTTTAAAGTAGAGACACTACATACTTATATACACCTGAACATCAGCAGGAGAGGACTCTTTAAAGTAGAGACACTACATACTGATATACACCTGAACCTCAGCAGGAGAGGACTCTTTAAAGTAGAGACACTACATACTGATATACACCTGAACATCAGCAGGAGAGGACTCTTTAAAGTAGAGACACTACATACTGATATACACCTGAACATCAGCAGGAGAGGACTCTTTAAAGTAGAGACACTACATACTGATATACACCTGAACATCAGCAGGAGAGGACTCTTTAAAGTAGAGACACTACATACTGATATACACCTGAACATCAGCAGGAAAGGACTCTTTAAAGTAGAGACACATTCTTTCCATTTCAGTAAAATAAAACATTGATTCGTCCATTAAATGCCTCTTGTCTTCAGCCCCTCTCTCTCAGGTTATTCACAGATCCATTTTGTCCCTTTCTGTGTCAGCGCTGCCTCCTGAGAGGTCACGGTTTTTAAAAATGCAATAGAGATTCCATTATTCGGCACACATAAAAATAAGTCCTAATGATCTATTATTGATGTTAAAGTGGATTGATTTATTCATGAAAGTCTCCTTTTGTCCCTCGCTGGTCCGAGAGAAGAAATGGCTCAAAAAATAAGAGGTTGTTTAATGTCCCACCGTCCCTGGGTGTGTCTCTTCCTAAACTCTTCTCCTTTACCTCGGTGCAATCAGAATCAGAGTCAGAATACCTTTATTCGTCACACACAAAAATGAAATGTAAAATGTGTGATATTGGGCTATATAAATACACTTTGCTTGATTGATTGATTGATTGATGATCTAACCCCTGATTGTGTGTGTTGTCAGGTGGCTGTGTGTGGTTCTGGTGTTCAGCACTAAAGGCCAGCGGTACCTTCGGGTCGGACTCGCTGTGCCTCTGTTCGGCTCCGTGGCCACCCTGAGGAGGATGGTGGCTGACGAGGGACAAATCTCCCCAGACCAGGTAACAAGAAGCAGAAAAAAAGACTGAAATTCACCCCAAAATCGTCTTATTTTTAACCACAAAGAAGGAAAACTGTGTGTGTTGACATGAACATATTGACATATTTAATCTCTATACATACATTTAGTCATGCAACAACTAAAAGCTTTCTATGTAAATGTATAATCTAACAATTTAATTGAAAGAATGGCAATTTTAATGTAAAAATGTTCCTTTTATCAACCAAAATGACGAGTAATATTAGATTATGACGAGCAATTAGTAACTAAAACTCACTTTTGGTAAAGAGCTAACGTAAGAGGGACTTGTAAAAGTTATTTGCAGGAATTAGCGCTCATTTGAAGTTAGTGTGATGAAGGGCTGGAGGACAGTTCGGATTGATCTTAATTACGATTTATTTCTTCCCCTGACATAAACAGGGATAATTAACAACAACAAAATAAACAGGAAAACATGCCAAATAGTTATTGCACGCCGTCGGCTGTAAGGCAGTCTTATCCACTTGTCTGAAATGCATTAAGCCGGCTCAGAGATTAGGAGGAATAATAAAGCAAACAGTGGTTTTCCATCAGGTGGGTTCAGAGTTCACGTTCACACAGCCTTAGGTCCGGTGTCCACAGAGCAAGAGCTCCAAATGCTTTGTGCTTTGACTGTTTATAAAGCGTATAATATTAAGGATAATCCAATATTTGAGTAAAATAAAGGCATTTGAAGTATTTTGACTCGATCAAAGTATCATATATCTTGATGGGTAATCACAGACTGGTATTTGTCAAAGTTTACTCAGCACTTATTCAGCGCTCACTCTGACAGCCGTAGAGAAGCAGTACGATCCGTGAGGTAAAAGTTCAACAATCACCTGCAGCAACATCCAGGGTTCAGACAATCTCTTTTGTTCTGATCTGTTTCTGTCATATATATAAAGTTTAGGAGAGACAGACGGGGTCAAAACAAGCTTTACTTCAATTTCCACAGTGACGTCACCCGTGCTTTTCTGAGAAGTTGAAAAAGGTTTAACTAGAAGTGCTGTTGAAAGGAAACTAATGTGTGTGTGTGTGTGTGTGTGTGTGTGTGTGTGTGTGTGTGTGTGTGTGTGTGTGTGTGTGTGTGTGTGTGTGTGTGTGTGTGTGTGTGTGTGTGTGTGTGTGTGTGTGTGTGTGTGTGTGTGTGTGTGTGTGTGTGTGTGTGTAGGTGATCCTGACGGAGGTTTACTCCACGGGTTTCCATCGCTCCTTCTTCGATGAGGAGGATCTGACGAGCATCGCTGAGAACGACGTGGTCTACGCCTTCCAGGCTCCGCCCCTTTACATCAGAGGAGGCTCCGCACGCATCTCAGGTACAAAAAGTGCAATCCTGCAGTCTTTAAAACCGAGGCAAGGATTCAAGGATTCAAGGCTTTCATTGTAATTTGTACATTGATGGATGGATGGATGGATGGATGGATGGATGGATGGATGGATGGATGGATGGATGGATGGATGGATGGATGGATGGATGGATGGATGGATGGATGGATGGATGGATGGATGGATAGATAGATAGATAGATAGATAGATAGATAGATAGATAGATAGATAGATAGATAGATAGATAGATAGATAGATAGATAGATAGATAGATAGATAGATAGATAGATAGATAGATAGATAGATAGACACAAGAAATTAGCAGTCCAAAATATTTCAGAAATAAAATAGCATTAAAAAGTAAAATAAAAAATAGATGTACATGTGGAAAATATACATGTGGAAATACAAATCAGGTGTTTAACAGAAAGACGACACTTATGTGATATGATATCCAAAATCTCACATGATACGGATGTGTTGCCCACCTCTAGTACATAATTCATTCTTCCCCTTCTTTAACTTGAATCCATGTACAGATGTAAGCAAAACAACCCGTTTTATTCATTTACTTTGGTTAATGAAAGCCTGGGGGAGTCCTCCGTACTGCAGGGGGCTTTAGAGGGCGCATAAAGAGCTCTTTGAATTACTCCCCCTCTGAGCAGATCAGATTTATGCCTCTGTTGTTCAGAGAGTGATGTAAAGTGTGTTTCTCAGTGTGTATCCCCCCCCCCCCTGTTTCTCTCTCTGTGGTGTAAACAAACCTGCTCTCTCTGCAGGCCTGTGAGTGTAGTGCTGTCCCTCAGGTTCTTACTGCCTGCTGGGGTTCATACTCAATACATTAGAGGACTCTTTAAAGTAGAGACACTACATACTGATATACACCTGAACATCAGCAGGAGAGGACTCTTTAAAGTAGAGACACTACATACTGATATACACCTGACCATCAGCAGGAGAGGACTCTTTAAAGTAGAGACACTACATACTGATATACACCTGAACATCAGCAGGAGAGGACTCTTTAAAGTAGAGACACTACATACTGAAATACACCTGAACATCAGTAGGAGAGGACTCTTTAAAGTAGAGACACTACATACTGATATACACCTGAACATCAGCAGGAGAGGACTCTTTAAAGTAGAGAAAATACATACTGATATACACCTGAACATCAGCAGGAGAGGACTCTTTAAAGTAGAGACACTACATACTGATATACACCTGAACATCAGCAGGAGAGGACTCTTTAAAGTAGAGACACTACATACTGATATACACCTGAACATGAGCAGCAGAGGACTCTTTAAAGTAGAGACACTACATACTGATATACACCTGAACATCAGCAGGAGAGGACTCTTTAAAGTAGAGACACTACATACTGATATACACCTGAACATCAGCAGGAGAGGACTCTTTAAAGTAGAGACACTACATACTGATATACACCTGAACATGAGCAGCAGAGGACTCTTTAAAGTAGAGACACTACATACTGATATACACCTGAACATCAGCAGGAGAGGACTCTTTAAAGTAGAGACACTACATACTGATATACACCTGAACATCAGCAGGAGAGGACTCTTTAAAGTAGAGACACTACATACTGATATACACCTGAACATCATCAGGAGAGGACTCTTTAAAGTAGAGACACTACATACTGATATACACCTGAACATCAACAGGAGAGCACTCTTTAAAGTAGAGATACTACATACTGATATACACCTGAACATCAGCAGGAGAGGACTCTTTAAACATTTGGCCACTTCATTTTAATTCAAATCCTCCTCCCTCTTCCACTATTAGTTATTTATATATAACTTTTTATTCAAAACTGGAGCAAACCCAAAGTAAATACGAAGTAAAAAGGCAGCACAGCTTGTTTTGGTACTAAATGTTAGAAAGAACATTTTACTTTTGATAAATATCTGACCAGCCTGTTCAATTATTTACATGCATACATGAAATATTAACTGACTTTATTTATTTATTTTACTCAAGTCCAGCACATAAGCATTTGTATGCCTTGCTGTTTGTGAGAAATCAAAGCTATACAATTAAAAAGTTGTGGGTTAAAAATAAATATCAAACTCCCATCAGGGGTCTCATTAAAGCTACGTTTGGTCATCTAAGTGTTTTTATGTGCAGTGGTAATGTTAACAATTTGGATTAAATTAAATAAAGCCACATGGTAAGTGAAGAAAAAAGTATCCTGCAATTAGTGCAAAACATATGCAGAGGTTTAATTATAATGATCATGCACATTAGCGGTCAGTTTCCTTAAAATAGACTTGATAGATGCATAAATTCAGTGGGTTTTAATGTGCATTACTCAGACAATTAAATGTAAAACCTCCTGATGTTAAGGGTTGTTAAAGGTCCCATGTCATGGCCATTTCTACTGATCATAATTCCATTGTTGAGGTCTACTAAAATAGATTTACATTGTTCAATGTTCCAAACTCACATTGGTTTCTCATACAGCATCTCTGTATAGTATGTGTATAGTGACTCACTCTCTGTCCTACACGCCTTGTTGGAGCTCCTGCCCCCCCCTCCCTATGAGCCCACTGTGCTCTGATTGGTCAGCTCGCCCACTCTGTTCTGATAAGTCCACCACCGTTACAGCGGAACATCAGTGATTATGTGTTACAATGGCGTTAGCAACCAGAAAATGACACCAGTAAGGACAAACAGATGAGAATGCTGCGAGGGGTCTGGGTGCCGTGTTGGCGGGACGTTGCGCGGCTCGCTGGTGCGAGGAGCAGACAGTGTGAGCTGGGTTCTGCTTGCTGCGTGGGGCCTGCGAGACAGCGAGACATCGCGAATGGACGCGGGAAGCGGGGGGTGCTGAGGGGGCTGCAGCACCCCCATCTGCGAGGCTCCACTAGCACCCGCACCCCCAAACGCGGCGCACCTACAGTGTAAGCGCGCCACAGTTTCGTCGCTGCGAGGCTCCACTAGCACCTCCCCCCCCCAGCCTATCACAGTTTTGCCACTGAGAGAGTGTGTGTGTGTGAGGAGCTCCACGGATTGGTCCATTTGGTCTAATGGGTCCATTTGGGTATGGTCACGTCACTGTACCCAGGAAGAAAATGAGAAATGTCCAACGAGGCGTTCTGGGGCAGCATAGACAGGTATTTTCTGTGTTAGAGTTTTACTCGATACAGGGTGTACTTTGAGGGTTTGTGACTCTGCAGACCGTTTACATGCAGAAAAAGCTACATAACACACAAGGGGACGGGTAATAACCGGAAAAGCATGACATGGGACCTTTAAAGGCAACATGAGAATACAGCTGTTCAGAGTCTTGGATTTCGTTTTATACAAAAGGGAAAGAATGATGGCGTTACCTTCCTACCTTTTCTTACATTATCTTTTTATCGCTTCTTGTTGCTTCTATGAAATCAGACATCTTTGTCTTATAAGATCGAGTTGGGTCACAACAATTTTACTGGATATTGTTACTGTTACTATAACACTATCATTATTTCATGAAGAACTGTACCTAAGTGTATTTTTGAAGTACTTGAGGAGTACAAACAAACAAAGTACCAGTATTTATTACAAAAACTTAAAAAAGAAAGTCGTAAACTTGAATAATTTGTAATTTTAGTCTAACCTGTTAACTGCTACTTGATGCAACAATAAAAACAACCTAATAATGTAATATATTTAATAATATATCACACCAGGCCATTTTCAAAGTTATTTTAATACTTTAAGTATGTTTGCTAGATTGTATTTCACATTATATAAAGGTACTTTTACATATGAATACTTAAGCTGTGCACTGTATGAAGTAGAAATATTCCAAACTGATCCCAGTCCACATGTAGCTTCTTCATTAACCCTGTGATTGCAGAGTGTTGACCCTGACAATGAGAGTAACGATAAGTATGCACAGCTTTTCATTTATTAATGTCGCTCTAATCAAGCCGGTGATGAAACCAGTTTGAATCATGCTCTGTAATTTCAACGAGCGGCGACCTCTGACAGCTGTGGGAATAATTTATGGGGGAAATCTCCTTTTAATAAGCCGGAGAAACGTGTGAATGAAACTGAATTTGAAGCAGGGGTCACCTCCCGGTCTGTCGCACTGAGATTTACACAGAGACGACTTTCCTCTCGTCACTTATTAAATCCTTTTTATGGCTTGCTGTCGAAAACGTTACTGTTCCTGCACATTTCTTCAAGGCTCCTGTCACTGCGATACTGATTTCTACCTTGTTTACGGCGTGAGAAATGATAGAAGTATGAGATATATGTAGTGGTTGAGTAGTATATTGATCAAATAGAATTTTGAGATACTTTACTGAAGTATTTTCATGTTATACTATTTATACTTCTACTTCACTACGGAATTTCAGAAGCCAGTATTGTACTTTTTCCTCCACGCTGTTTACAGATTCAGATTTATAGTGTAAACAAAATATAAATAAATACACATTTACATATAATTATAGGTTTAGATATTCAGCAGCATTTTATAAGGTCATTAAAATCCACCTTGACCAGCTTTGATGAACACATTATCGCATATATAATTTACGTTTGGTACTTTGAAGTGGACCTATCATGCTATATTTGAATAATATAGTGTAGGACCATACCTATATAAGGCATATTTATACTTTTTTTTTTTCAAAATACCAAACAGATCATGCATTTTAGCCATGCCTCATTTTGCTCAATTTGAAAAATGTTAGCTCTGTTTTAGCAAGGGCTGATTCAGTGAGAACAGCACCATCTACAGGCCTGGCATATGTACTACAGCGTCTCCAGCGCTTTCGAACGGCAATGGCCGTGACTGTCTCCTCCTGATTGGTGGAGTTGGCCCAATAGCCGTAGCGCCACCGTCCTGACGTCAGGACAGTGTTCAAATCTGGATCAGTTTTTATCAGATCCGTTGCAGCCCCTTTTTTAGAGATTTGGGTATGGAGGAAAATAGAGAGGGTTGTGTTTTCTGACACTT